AGCACTTCAGAAGGGGTTATATGTTTTATTATAGTCTGGAGTATTTTACTAACAACCCTATTGATAGGTTTATCAATGACTTACAAACACTATATTGTATTGCTAAGTGACAGTGGGCATTTATGTACTTGTAAGGCTATCATAAATCGTGGTATTATATGTGCTTATTTTTTTCAAGTAATGATGAATACCCGAATAGCGAAGTTTCATATTGGATTAGTTTCAAGACGTTGGTATCAAGATAATTTGCAGGATAAAAAGTTGGATGTTTTACAGCAGCAAAGCATTGAGATCTCAACGACCTTTCAACAAAATACTTCAAGTGTTATTGTATCAGACCTTCATATTATTAAACAAATCCGTGATAACGATATGTTTAGTGCAAAAAGTCAACAAATAGTCAACAAGAAAGTCCGGTATGCCAATGGATTTGGTAAAATGAAGAAGGCTCTTAATACTGCTTTGGATCTTGGATGTGAAAAAGAGCTTATTAATTTGATAACTAGTTTTATTGATCAAAAAGTATCTATTTATGAAAATCGTAATGAAGACTCTCGATCTAATCAATCTGAACTACTAGTTGTAATGGATCCCTTAGTTGTAAACGTCGTGGACGGCCACCCAGTAAAAGATTAAAAAGCTCTTCTGAAGGTAAAGGCCATAAAGGATTAGAATGTAATCATAGTGCAATTAACATTCAAGATCCTAATTTAAGAACACCTCTCTCAAACATTGATTCAAATGTTGCGAACACAATTAGCAATACAGAAGAAAATAAGAGAAAATATGTATGCAATATATGTGGTAGTACAGGACATAATGCACGTACATGTAAACAGTAACAATAGTAATATGTAGGGTATTGGTATAATTTTCATACATAGGCACTTTAATTATGTTATACGATTTGAACTAGTAATAGTTAAGGGAAATATGTATGTAATAGCATAGAGCATAATTTATAGCGCACTTCTAATTGATATATGATTCTGAACTACGTAGTAATAATTAGGTTATGAATATTACTACGTATAGTATTGAGTATGAATACGTACCGTAACAGACTTTTATAATTTAGCAGTTTACTACATAATAATAATTTTTACTTTTTACGTAGACAAAATAACATATATATTAATGTTACGTATGAATGCCAGATAAGTATTATTGCGTTTTTTGTTATTGCGATTCAAAGTACGTAATACGTATGCATTTTTGTTTCGTTATATAGTACATAACAAGTTATATATAAGACTTAATGTTTTTATTAAGGTTAGGGTTAGGGCGGGCTACATAATATAGTTGGGTTTGGGTTAGGGTAGGTTATAGGTATATAAGCAGCTTTTTTAATAAAAAAATTTTTTGCATCATTATTTTTACTTTGTCTGTATCGATTATATGCATTCTTCTTGTCTAATAACAATAAAGTATATATTTAGTATACTACGTAGCATATCGTACATGTGATACAAGGTTAGCAATGAAGACTAAATTCTTAATTCGTTAAGGTTAGAGTTAGGGTCAATGTTAGGATCAGATAATTTATATAGTAAAATTGT